CTCCAACTGTGATTCCCTAATAGGCATTTACCACGGGCCCCACACAGCATTCTACTCTCTGATAGAGATTTTAAGCACCATTGAGTCCATTCTGCCAATAGAGCTGGTGGCAGAACTGCTTGTACAGTTTTATCTGAAAAGCATTTTATTTCTCTGGGTCATACTCTAATCTGGGAGGCAATAAGTGTTGTTCTTCTCTCTTAATAGCAGCAGATGCAAGGTGCAGAGCTTACCATTTACTTTGGAGGAGATATCACGACTGGGCTCCTCAGGTCTTCATTGGAAGACCACTGTATTTTCATGAGATATATTTTTCATCCATGGCATACATGGTTTCCTAAGGTATCACGATTACATGCTATTTAATACTCTCTAGATCTTATCTGCATCAATGTGAAGAATCTCTGTGGTATCCTGTGGAGTAAGTATATTATCAAACTTTACAGACTAAATTATGGCAATGAGTTAGGAAGTCATACAATGTTGAGGGCAGATAGTGACGATGCAGTACTCTCCCTGCCAGGTGAAAGCAAGTGCCCCTGGTATTTTCTATTTATCGGGAATGGCAAAGCTTTTGTTAGAAAAACTGTTGCATCCAAGGTGGCAGAGTCTGCTTTTATTTGTTTTAATAGAGAGACTATAACTTAAAAAGCATCTAAAATTAAGGTCATGGCTTGGTTGAGTTTAAGAGAATGCGATATCATTCTTCAGAAACCATCTTCCCTCTGCACTGACCAATCAGCGTGATAATAGTTCCCTTAGGGAGAATGTGTTAATTATGAAACAATTATTACAATAAATATGAATGTTTTTCTCTATATCCTCAGAGTCTTTGTGTGTCTATCACAGGTAAGGCCTAATAAATGAGTGACTCAATGAATAGGAAGATGATGATAATTCAGTATGAGTGATGAGGAGCTTGACCATATTCTAGACTGGCAATTTAAGATAACACTGTCATGTTAACTTTCTTTTCAGAATTAAAGTAAATAGATATCAGATACTGTATAATTGGTTGGGCCCTAAGGAGTAGTTTAAATGTTATGATACTGTTAATCACCTTATTTGTGGAGAAATATTCTAGAGCAGATCTGTCCAGGAGAAACATAATGTGCATCACGTGTAAGTTGAATTTCTAGTCGCTCTATGTAAAGAAATGTTTTAAATATAAAATTAATTTTAATAATATATTTTATTAACTACAACTAAATATTATTATTTTAAATGTAATCAGTACAAATTATTGGTATTTACATTTATTTTTTGTTCACATACTTTAAAATCTGATGTGCACTTTGCAGTTATAGCAGATCTCAGTTTAGATGAGCCACACATCAGTGCTCAGTAGACACAGGTGGCTAGTAGCTATCTTAATGGACAGCACAATTCTAGAAGTTCCATGAATAGAGAAATTCCAAGAAAAGGAGTAAAATGCGAGAGGTCTCTTAGTTTAATGTAAAAAGCCCCTTGGTTTATTAATGGACACAAGAACTGTTGCTGCACATCTCTTTTTTCCTTTTTTTTTCTGTCATATTCTTCCAGTAGAGGTGGGTGAGATATACGCTTGGCAGAGCAGATAAAGGAAACAAAATACCCTTGACTGAGGTGACTTGGTTGTACTGGCCCTTGCAGCTCAAAAGCAGACCATCTGCAGCACGACTTCTGTGCCAGAGGCTGCATGGAGAGGTGTAGCAGCAGCTATTACACACAGCCACCTGCCACACTTCCAAACCACAAAATCAACAAAGAGCATTCCTCCCCTGACACTTCTACCTTTGCCCGAGGCATCATATCCTTCCCAATCACTCTTCCTCCCCAGCCAAGTACAAAGCTCTTTTCAAATGACAGAGGCTCCAAAAGGACCTGTGTCATCTCCTTTCCTACCATCTGTGCCCAACATACTGCTGACCCTCACATAGCTGCTCTCCTTGTTGTCCCACTGTGAACAAGCTTTTTCCTGGTCTGTCCTTTAGCAGCAGCATTACAGCTACTAGAGTCTAGTGGTTAAAGCGTGGGCCTGGGAGAGCAACACACCTAACTTCAAGCCTTGTTTATGCCTCTTGAAAGCTGTGTGATCTTGAGAAGTAAATAAAACTCTGAACTACAGTTGCCTATAAAGTTAGTTATCTACTTCATAGGATTATTGTGAGACTGATATAGAGTTACTGTGAGACTCAACTGAGACAATGGGTACATTGCATTTAGCAAGTATCTGGCACATGGTGAGCAATTAATTAATTGGAAACTCGCATTTTTAGACTATTTCCTCAATCTAACATTCTTCCCTACTCCTGGCCACCTGTCTAAATCCTGGTCATTTTTTCAGTATTTCTCAGGTTCCACTTCTTCTCTAAGCCTTCTACAAACTTGATTCTTTCCTTTTAATGTGTTTCTTGAGAACTCTGACATAAACAATGCTGGGATTAACCTCTAGTACAGGATACATACCTGTCATGTCAAATTCTTCGATTGATTGACGATGAAAAGAATACACACACACACACACACACACACTCACACACACAGTATACATGTAGTAGATGCTGCCGACGCCCCACTCCTCCTCCCCTTGGCCCTTCTGAGTTGGCTTGCAGCTCTGGCAGACAGATTTACCACGTCCACTGGTTCCTCGAAAGGCCCCCAGCAGGCAGGAGTCAGTGCTGCCCACAACAGCATCCCACTTGTTAGCGTGCCCTTTACTGCTTTGCCTCCTTCCCTGGATCACTTTCCTCACAGCCACTTAAGCTTCCTGGAATCACTTCTCAAATTAACTATTTGCACCAAAGTCCTCGTCTCAATGTTTGGTTTTGGTGAAACCCAGATAAGACAGGAACTAACATGACCGACTTCACACTCTATGTCAGGCATTCTGCCTTCACCATCTTTCATATTCTCCCACATTCTTATGAAGCTGGGTATTCTTATACCCATTTTATGGTTACAAATTAGAAAACCAAGACTCAAAACAATTAAATGACTTGTTCAGGGTCATAAATATATTAATTAGCATATCCAAATGCTTCTTTAGGTGCCCATCTCCAAATTAATAATGGTATGGAAAAGAAATAAAACATTTCAGGATAAAGTTAAACATATTATAGAAAATAAAGTCAGGTAAAAATTAGATCTTTTTCCTCAGTTTAGCCAAAGTGTGACAAACTAAGATTTAAAACTAAATTTAATGAAATCATGTCTGGAGACATAGATGTTGAACGCTTGGATGTCATTTAAACGCCTTATTTATAGTCCACTTTCTTTATTCTGGGAAATAAAAGTGGGAAGATATGGCAGTGGAGTGATGCCCAAATGAGTCAGATTTTATAAGAAGCTATTAGAAGATGAAATTGATTTGACCTCTAGAACATTTGAGAAAGAATTAGACAAAGGGGACTTTCCTGGGTATTTAGAGACTAAAAGGAAAGGCTTAGATGGATGAGAAAAATTGAGAAACATTTCTCTACCATATTAAAATTCTCATTCAGAATTGATTTCTTTAATCTTTCTAAGTCACATTGTCCATGTATATAAGGCTTATTGAATTATAACATCAACTGTCAAACCCAGTGAATGTGGGTAAGGAGATAGCTGGGAAGATGTTAAGGGAAGCAAAGGACAAAGAGATATGTTGTCCATATAGAGACAAGTATTAGCTGACCAATGCATTTCCTAGAGTTTTAAAATCTATGTTAGTCAAATTGGAGAAGTTAGAAATAATCAGTTAGAATTAGGGAATATTACCCAATTTAGTTAATGCATGTTATTTTCTGTGGTTCTGTAGTCTAGCTGTCAAGTAAAGTTTGTACTTTTTGGAAAATCAGATTGATGAGTTTGTATGAGGTAGAGCCAGGGTCTTCAGAGAAAACGGAACTGAGTCTTCAGTTTTCATGAAGTTTTAGAACACTTGATATTTATAGTAAGCCTTGAGATTATCATACAATGTATAGTAAATCTTTATTATGTACTAGAGGCCCAGTGCACAAATTCGTGCACAGGAGGGTGGTGGAAGGGGGAGAGGGGTCTTTCAGCCTGGCCTGCACCCTCTCGCAATCCGGGACTCCTTAGGGGATGTCTGTCTAAACCGGCAGTTGGACATCCTTCTGGCAATCCGAGACCGCTGGCTCCTAACTGCTTGCCTGCCTGCCTGATGCCCCTAACCACTCTGCCTGCCTGCCTGATCACCCCTAGCCACTCTGCCTGCCTGCCTGATGCCCCTAACCACTCTGCCTGCCTGCCTGATGCCCCTAACTGCCTCTGTCTGCCTGCCTGATGCCTCTAACTGCCTCTGCCTACCTGCCTGATCGACTCTAACCACTCACCTGCCTGCCTGATCACCCATAACCACTCACCTGCCTGCCTGATCGCCCCTAGCCATCTCTGCCTCAGTCCCCACCACCACAGCTTCATCTGGAAGGATGTTCAGAATGACATTCAGAAGGTCGTTTGGCTGTCCAGTCTAATTAGCATATTATGCTTTTATTATTATAGATTGCCTGTGAAGTTGCTACTGTTTGCCTTTTTTAATGTCACATGAAATCATAAAAAAAACTAATCAGTTTCAATTGGGCATTATAGTTTCCTTCCTTTAAATTTTTAAGTGTTTTCACTTATGCATAACCCAAAAGAATGACATCACATTATTTACTGTAAATTTATTAGCTCTGCTATGAAGTCATTTAGTTTTGAGCTCTCGAAAAAAAAATGACTTCAAGCTTTTGCCTCTAATTCACATTTTAATAAATGTCATTTTCTAAGTGCATTACCTCATGCTTTGGCTTCAACCCAGAGGAATACCGAGAGAATAAGAGAAATGTGCTTTCTGACTGGTTCATCCATATTTTATTTTACTTTTCATTAAGAAATTACTCTTTGAAGGAAATCAATAATCTTCTCTGACTGAGGGGAGAGGTTAGAATGTTGCAGTGGTGCATTCTAATTTCTCACGTACACCGCTTTCAGCCAGCTGTTGCTGATAGAGTGCTTGTCCTTTCTCGTTCCTGCAGCCTGGGTACATGGCGACCCCAGAAGAGTGGCTTACCCTACAGACAGCAAGGGCCACTTTTGTGGCCAGAAGGGCACCCCCAATGAGTGAGTATGGCCACCTTTGCTTTGTCTGATTTTACTGTTTAAGCTACAACCTGGAAACCACGTTTGCATTCATCTTACTGGACTTCTTAACAAGATTGAAATTCAAAAGGAAGGCCTTCCCGCCACCTTTTCCTGAAACAGTTTATAAACAGTTGGAGAGTTTCATACTTTATGACGTAAGACAAGATGTCACTATTATACAGCATTTTGTTAGATTGCATGAAGAGGTTGCTTAATGAAAATATAATGGTAATGGATGAGTTGGACCAGTGATTTCATCAGAAGCCATATTTTAAAGTGCCTTATGAAATGGCGTTTGGAAGGCTGAGTTCTGAGTAGCTGTTAAAAAGCTAGACATTAAAAAGCTGTTGTTAGATTTGTGTTTGTTGTGAGTAAATCACTCTGATAAATCACTCCCCCTCTCAAAGTGAGGAGCCCGCCCAGAAAGTCCTCCATGTGTGTAGACTTTTCAAGGCAACATCGCTGCAGACAATGACCTTAAGTAGCAGAAACAAACAAGGACCAAGGTTCCATCAAATTCCTTTCCAGTGTTAATTGAAACAGAAAAAGTTTTTTTTTTAATTTCTTTACTTTAAGAAAGCAAAACAAAAACATAAATCTCACACTTTAAGAAAAGTTTGCCTTCTTTCCCACTGGTAATTGGAGTTGTTACTAGATCTGGTTCTTTATAACCAATTCAGTTTCTATAAAAGCTGGTACTGAATGGATAAAAGCCAAAGCAACAACAGTCCCCCTCCCCCTGCCACCACCAACAGCAAATAAGGCTCAGAACGCTTTGGTGAGTTTCCCACCCACAACTGTGGAGCTTATCATTTGAGATACACAGATTTGAAAAATAGAATCAGGGAGGTGTTAACAAAATTCATAGAGTAGAACTTTTATAGACAACCAAGAGAACCCAAAGTTTGGGTGGGGAGGAAACCCTCAATCATGTCCAGTTGAGTTTATAGTGGACAAATTGACTCCAACAAAAGGTCTTCGGTGCCTATTAGAGACGACTAGACTGAACTCTGGTCTAGGGTGGTAATTCTTATTTTAACCTCAGCAACTAAAAACATCCTAGGCAATGACAACAGACACTTCACCCTATGAAGGACAAATAGAGCACCAGAAGGTAAAAGTAATAAAAATCTCTAAGTCTCTAGTTCTGTAAAATAGGCAATTTTTAAAGGTCCCCTGTAGCGATAAAATTATTTGCCCATATACATGTGATTTTATTTCTGGGCTCTCAATTCTGTTCCACTGGTCTGTGTGTCTCTTTGTTTACCAGTACTATACTATTTTGATTATTATAGCTCTATAGTATAATTTGAAGTCAGGTGATGTGATACCTCCAGTTTTTCTCAGCATTTCTATGGCCATTCAGGGTCTTTTTGGTTCCATACAAATCTGGTGATTTTTTTGTTCTATTTCTTTAAAAAATGACATTGGTTAAGGCCTGGGGTGGGGTGGGGGCTGGATGGAGTGGGTAAAGGTGGGAGTAAAGGGGCCATCTGTAATACTGTTAACAATAAAAAAATATACAGGGTGTCCCAAAAGATGTATACACACTTTAACAGCTAAATTTTGAAAATGAAATGTATTTTAATATACACTGCCTTTATAATTCAAAATGTATCTACATTTTTTGGGGGGACACCCTATATATAAAAAACATTCTCATCACAATAAAAAATTCTAACTATGTGAAGAGATAAATGTTAACTAAACTTATAGTAATTACTAGTGGCCTGATGCATGAAATTCGTGCATGGGGGAGGGTGTCCCTCAGCCCGTCCTGCACCCTCTCCAATCTGGGACCCCTCGGGGGATGTCCAACTGCTGGCAGTCAGATATCCCTCTCGCAATTCTAGGACTGCTGGCTCCTAACCACTCACCTGCCTGCCTGCCTGATCGCCCCTAACCACTTTGCTTGCCGGACTGACCAACCCTAACTGCCCACCCCTGCTGGACTGATTGCCCCCAACTGCCCCCTCCCCCGTTGACCTGATTGCCCCCAACTGCCCACTCCTGCCAGCCTGCTTGCCCCCAACTGCCCCCTCCTGCCAGCCTACTCTCCCCCAACTGTCCCCCTGCAGGCCTGCTCTCCACCAAATGCCCCTCGGGGGTTGGGGCACTGCCCCCTGTCACTCACAGAGCAGGGTCAATCAGGGGGTTGGGGAGCTCCCCTCTGTCACTCACAGAGCAGGGCCAATCAGGGGGTTGAGGAGCTCCCCCCTGTCACTCACAGAGTAGGGCCGATAGGGGAGTTGGGGCACCGCCCCCTGTCACCCACAGAGCAGGGCCAATCAGGGGGTTGGGGTGCCACCACTGTCACACTCAGGGCAGGGCCGATGGAGAGGTTATGGCTCTACCCTGTCACACACAGAGCAGAGCCCGTGGTGGGGGGGGGGGGGGTTGGGGTGCCACACCCTGTCACACACAGAGCAGGGCCGATCAGGGGGTTGGGGGGCTGCCCCCTGTCAAACACAGAGCCGCAGGGCAATCAGGGGATTGGGGAGCTCCCCCCTATCAGGCACAGAGCAGGGCTGATCAGGGGGTTGGGGCGCCTTCCCCTGTCACGAAAAGAGCAGGGGGGATAGGGAGGTTGTGGCCCCCCTTCCCCCTGTGGAAGCGCACTGTACCACCAGGGGGCAGCTCCTGCATTGAGCATCTGCCCCCTGGTGGTCAGTGTGTGTCATAGTGACCAGTCATTGCCAGTCGTTCTGCTGTTAGGGTCAATTTACATATTACCCTTTTATTATATAGGATAGAAGCCTGGTGCATGGGTGGGGGCTGGCTGGTTTGCCCTGAAGGGTGTCCCGAATCAGGTGGGGGTCCTGCTGGGGTTCCTGGCCAGCCTGGGTGAGGGGCTGATGGCTGTTTGCAGGTTGGTCAAGCCCCCCAGTGGGGCTCTCACCCCATGGGGGTGTGGTCAGCCTGGGTGAGAGGCTGAGGGCTGTTTTCATGCTGGCCACACCCGTTCAGGGTGGGGGTCCCTACTGGGGTGCCTGGCCAGCCTGGTGAGGGGCTGATGGCCGTTTTCAGGCTGGCCACACCCCCTTCAGGGTTGGGGTGCCTGACCAGCCTGCGTGAGTGGTTGATGGCTGTTTGCAGGCTGGTCAAGCCCCCCAGTGGGGACCCTCACCCCATGGGAGTGTGGCCTGCCTGGGTGAGGGGCTGAAGGCTGTTATCAGGCTGGCCATAGCTCCTTCAGGGTGGGGGTCCCTGCTGGGGTGCCTGGCCAGCCTGGGTGACGGGCTGATGGCCATTTTCAGGCTGGCCACGTCTGCGGGCTGGAAACAGGTATCTAGGATTTATTTAACTTCTATAATTGAAACTTTGTAGCCTAGAGCAGAGCTCAGGGCCAGCCAGGGCAGGTAGGAAGCTTTGCTTCCTCCAGCACCAGGGGCAATCCAAGCCTCCTGCTCACTCCAGCTCTGTGGCTGCCGCCATCTTTGTGGCAGTGTGACAGAGTGAGGGAGTGATGGTTAATTTGCATATTACTCTTTTATTAGATAGGATAGAGGCCTGGTGCATGAGTTGGGGCTGGCTGATCTGCCCTGAAGGGGGTTCGGGATCAGGGTTAGGGTCCCCTTTGGGGGGCGGTGCCAGCCTGGGTGAGGGCCTGTTGTGGTTTGTAGGCCGGCCACACCCCCATTGCGGTAAGTGTCCTGCTGGGGGTGTGGCTGGCTGGATGAGGGGCTGATGCTGTTTGCAGACTAGCCATGCCCCCATCTGGGTGGGGGTCCCCATGGGGTGTGTGGCCAGCCTGAGCGAGGGGCTGGGGGCCATTTGGGGGCAGTTTGCAGGCCAGCCAAGCCCCAGGCTTTGTCTGGAAGGATGTCCGGAAGGTTTCTGGAAGGTCTCCTGGTCTAATTAGCATATTACTCTTTTATTAGTATAGATTTGTACATATATATAATCATTATGTTATACATCTTAAACTAATACAATGTTATGCATCAATTACATCTCAATAAAACTGGAAACATTAAATTAGGAACTAGACAATAAAAAAAGAAATCATAGATTTCAATCTAGCATGTTTGGAGTAGTGTGCTACTTTAAGAATAATGTCTAATGCTAGCAAACCCACCTGAACCATTACACTCACCCCCACTATCTTTTCTCTAGTTAGGTTCTGGCACAAGACCTTGATGTATTGTCTTGGGTACTTAATCACTATCTGAATTACCCTGATTATAAATTTGTTGACTATTTTATCTTCCCCTACTAGAACCAACATTTTTTTAGGTCAGGGACTTCCTCTGTCTTTTTTACTGTTTTTATCCTCAGCCTCTGCAACATTGGCATTGTAATAGGTGCTCATTAAATTCATTGTTAAATGAATGAGAATAAAGGGGTAGCACAGATAAGAGAGTAATTTGTTCCTAAGGTCAGTGTAAAAATCTTATCAAATTCTCATAACAACACTGCCAAGTGGACATCATCATTATTTTTCTCATTTAGAAAATTAGGAAACTAAAATTCAGAAAGGTTAAAGTACTTATTCAGGTTCAACTGACTACTAAATGGCAAAAATAGCATGTTCTAACCCCAAATCCTGTTCTCTTCAGGCTGCACATTGATAGAGTTGCAGTGACATTGGTTTTCCATGTTACATGTTTAATCTAGTCCTAAAGATCTTAAACATAAACTGGCAAAAAATGTCATTAAATTTAAAAATCACACAAATAAATGAGAGAGAGTTTCCATTTCAAAATGAAATGCATTTATCAGGATGTGTAAGCAATTTAGGCACCCCAACCAATTTAGTCCAGAAAATTCTTGTTAGACTGTAACAATTAGAGTATTTGTACTTGTTAGTGTCATGATGTACTTAAGGCAGCCCCTTGATTCTCAACTCTCAAAAACATTTCTGTAACTGAGCTTAAATTCCGTGTTTAGAGATAGTGTGATAGTATTTGGGATGTGGAGTTTGGCCATTTTTTGTTTTGTTTATCCATGCCTAACCAAAAGGAGAAACACTGGGTGTTTTCTAAAATGTCAAAACAGATAAAAGAGAACCCTCAAGATAAAATGGAGTGCTTTGTTGACGTGTAACTTTTTCTGCCTTTTAGATTGCAGAGAAGTTATTCATGATACTTGGGGGTGGTCCTTTTCTTCGAATTTCCACTAAAAAGTGAGAACTCAAGTGATTTGATGCCACCTTCTGGCTACTACAAAAACTTCAGTTTAAAAAGAGCCCTTGCTGATTTGGCTCAGTGGATAGAGCTTAGGCCTGCAGACTGAAGAGTCCCAGGTTTGATTCTGGTCAAGGGCACATGCCCAGGTTGTGGGCTTGATCCCCAGTAGGGGGCTTGCAGAAGGCAGCTGATCAATGATTCTCATTGAGAGAGATTGATGTTTCTATCTCTCTCTCCTTCTCCCTTCCTCCCTAGAATAATAATAAGAAAAAAAGATTGTGTTAAAACAACTTTGAACAGGCTCTGAAGCAGTCCAATTACCCAATCTGAGGTCTTCAGATAGGGAAACAGGAAAGATGAAGAGGGCAAAGGTCTTCCATGTAAGTTTTGTATCATTTTGGCATCTAAGTGAAGCAACATGTCCACTCTTACTAAAGAAAGAAGAACCAGGTCTCTTGTGTAAATTTGCTCCACTGCTGTGTCAGTTTTCCAGAGAGGCCTCTGTCCTATGGGGTGAAGGGGGAGGGGGTGACAGCTGTTCTGGCTGCCAGATTTCAGGAACTAGAGGGTTGCTGCCTGTCAGACGTTGGCTCCCAAAATGCCACAATATGAAAGGTTGTAGGCTGGGGTGCCACATCCCACAGAAGCCCTTGTTATTCCCAGAAGGTTAATTCAATAAAAGAGGCCTCTATTTTGGCCTGTTGTGGTTTTGTGTGTGTGTGTGTGTGTGTGTGTGTGTGTGTGTGTGTGTGTGTGTGTTTGTCTGGATGCTGGAATTCAAAGTGCACGTGTATGGGAGAAGCATAGAGGTGCTGATTTGCACTATAGATCTGTATATAAACTTTCAGTTAATCTTCTCGTTTTTGGCCACATTTCTCTTAATTCCAAGTCTAACATATCTCACTATTTCTAACAGGCAAAATAATGTCCCACCCTTTTTGTAGCCTCTCTGGTGCATCCATCACTCCACACACTCTCATATGCTTTTCATCTTCCCCAAATTGTTGAACTCTCCTGTATAATTGTGAACAGACCCCACCCTCCGCATCCTTAGCTGGAATGGTGAGGGTTTTTTTTCCTGTTTTTACTTTTATGCTTTTATTTTCATGAGTCTTGGGAAAGAAGGAAGATGGGCTTAAGTGCATGGACGATCATTTTGAGTGAGTAGTTTGCAGTTGCTTCTATTTTGCTGTTTCTTCTTTTTTAAAAATATATTTTTATTGATTTCAGAGAGAAAGGGAGAGGGAGAGAGATAGAAAGATCAATGATGAGAGAGAATCATTGATTGGTTGCCTCCTACACACCCCACACTGGGTATAGAGCCCGCAACCTGGGCGTGTGTCTGACCGGGAATTGAACCATGACCTCCAGGTTCATAGGTCGATGCTCAACTACTGAGCCACAGTCAGGCATTTTTGCTGTTTCTTGGTGGAAATATAATTCAAGTTAAATGCTGAGTGGCTTCCTCAGTCACTCCCACAGAATTGCTCAGCTGCAACCATCACCATATACTTTGTACCTAAGCAATCAGAGATCCACTGACATTTAAGGCTACCAATCAGGCTACAATAGAACAACTACAAATTTGTACTGAAAAAGTAAGGATTTTAAGATTTTGAAAAACACTTATCGTGGAATTTGTCTCATGCATTCTATTACATTTGGTAATTACATAGAATGGGCTGAGTGCTAGGCTAAGTGTTAGCAAAGTAGAAGAATAAAGATGAATAAGGTATAAACCTTTCCCTGGAGGATAGCACAATCCAGTGAATAGCTTGAGTTTATGTAGCATTTTGCAGGTTATAAATCAATTTTACCTATGGGATCTCTCGACACTTACTGATTTACCATTCACAGTTTTAACTACTCCTGAGAGACTCCAGTGATCCATGACATGCATTAATTTATTCATTTGCTGAGGTACAAATTGGAGACACATGCACCACGAGGCTGTGTGGATGATATAGCTGCTCGGTGGTGGAAGAGCCCCGCTGACTCTGTGGAGTCCTGAGCAGCCTTGTGTGTGTTGTGCATGAATTTATAACCAGGTCTTGAGCCATCTGAACTCGATGGGATTACAAATAAGAAATGTGTTTATTTCCCCCCCGTCATTGCGTTTAACAATGTCCTTTCACATCTCACTTCTCACTCTGGTATCTCAGGTGCTTTCCAGACACTCTGTTGTTAAAAAGTTCAATGTAGTCTCATGTACAATGTGAATCTCAGATCTTCCACTCCTCCAGCTCAGGTTTTAACTCTGCAAGGGAACTTAAAGTGAAAGAGAGGGCCTGGTCTACTATTTCCCTTCTCTTCCCTCTCTTCTGGTTCTAGCTCTTTCTTTGTGTTGTGAGGGGTGGAAGGAGAAGGAGTGTCTGTCACTTTTTTGGTCACTTTCCTAGTCCCATTAGGTGTTGCTACTGCTACTAAGATACACATCACACATTCTCTTTGAGGTAAGCGCCCAATGCCTGGCTCTCTCATGGTGTCCAAGTGGACATTCTCTGGAGAACTCCTCACTGAATAGTTCTTTGATTTAAGAGATCAGCTTAGCTTGCCCTCCTCCCAACCCCTTTAATTTTATCGCTCATGATTCACCTCCAGTCTCTACCAGGATAATGCAAGCCCATATATTTGACTGAGCGTCCTCCCATACAGGCTACTTCACACTCCCCTTTTCCTGCCCCACTGACTTTTTTCAGCTCTCTATGGTCTCTTTGGGTCTCATTTCTCACAGTTAAAATGGGCACAGAGGGCTGACTTGTAAGTCTGCAACGTAAGTGGTGTTCCATTGGAAAATGAGATGCACATCTGTCCTCCCTACAGGTACCTCAGTCTCTATGAGTGAGTCTCTCAGAGCCCTCTGTAACTTGGCACTAGGAAGAAACAATCACCCTATCAAAGAGGAGAGGATGGAAAATCCTCTTAAATGTGATCATTGTATCCTTCCAACTCCACTGTCTGCCTCCACCTCCTTCCCCCCATTTTGATTATGTAGATAGGAGCAGGAAGGGGGTAGAAGCGATACAAGGGTCTGGCCCACATTTTTGTTTGTGTGTGTGGAGAGCTTTCTTTGTCCTGAGATTTGGATCCTAGTTGGTAATTCTGAGTAAGCAGTAAAAGTATTATTCAACAGCCTGTTATATATTTTATGTTATGTATGTAGTCACATTAATTAACTGGGGACTTGATAAGGTGCTAGGAACATTCTCAAATATTTAGGGCTTCTCTCAAGGTGTGGTTTATATACCACCTTGATCTGAATCTACTGGGGAGCACTGGGGAAACAGATCTGAATTCCTGGGATGCATACCCAGAGATCTGGGCTCTCAAGGTTTGAGAAGGAGTCAGGAATCATGATTGTCAACAAACACCCCAGGTTTTACTGATGCATAGTCAAGTTGGACAAGCTCTTGTCCTGAGTTCCCTACACATTATTTTGTGTCCTGCCAACACCACTGTGAATTAGATAAGGCTGGTGTTATTCCACTATACTGCTGAGGAAATTGAGATTCAAAAGAGAACCATGATGCCCTGGCCAATGTGGCTCAGTTGGTTGAGCGTGGTCCCATGCTTCGAGAGGGTCGCTGGTTCTATTCCTGGTCAGGGCCCATACTGAGTTGCAGGCTCAATCCCCAGTAGGGGGCTTGCAGGAGGCAGTAAATTGATGTTTCTCTTTCTCTCTCTCCCTCCCCTTCCCCTCTCTCTAAAATCAAATAAAAAACATATTAAAGAGAGAGAGAGAGAGAGAGAGAGAGAGAGAGAGAGAGAGAGAGAGAAAGAGAAAGAATGAGAGAACCATGGCTTGCCAAATGGCAGAGTAATGCTTCACTCGGTGCTAGTGATAATGACTATCAACCTGTCTTATCACTCTGCCACTGACCATAATTTTTAACACAAAGGAAATGTTACTCTATTTATATACCTTTTTTTTCAGATTACCAAAGTAATACATGTTTATTTTAGGAGATCCATAAAAGTATAAAAATTAACAAAACAAATATAATTTCACAATTCAGATATAATTTGTTTCTGCATATCATGTTATACCTATTTTTTCAAAATGAAAATAAAGTCATATCTTAATACTCTTTAGTAACATGATTTCTAAAATTAATGTATTGGGAATTTCTCCATCAATGGAATATTTTCTTCAACATTATATACAGTGACAATGAGACTTCCATTTTATGGGTGTAGAATTTTTTATTTAACCAATCCCCTATTGATAGGTGATTTGATTATTTCAACATTTTACATTACCAATGTTGCTTTAAATGTTAGGCAGTTTAAAAGGAAATTGGAGACTATATTGCAGCTATCTAGAGAAAATGAAGTCAATTTTAAAGGTCATATTAAATTAAAAGTGTACAGAGTCTGAAGTGATATGGAACATTTCCATAGTCAATAGAAAGATTATTTTATGTTGTTGTTTTTTTTTAATTTATCATTAATGTTTAAAGTAATACAGATGATTTTTTTTAACAGGAACAAGAGTATTTTGTTTTATTTTAACCTGTTAAGCTGTACCAGTCCCTCCGTGATGATAAACCTACAGTGCCCTACTACACAGGTAAGGGAAAAGAAAAGCCTCGTTGGTATTGTAAGCAATTTTGACCATTCTTGGATGAAAGAATTCAGAATTTTCATTTGAGTTTTCTGTGTATGTCATGATGAATGTATGGAAAGTGGGAAGACATGAATATGAACTTATGTTTGTTCATATGCAATCAAAATGAAGCAAGGATTAATCACTTTAGTATTGCCAAAGAACCTTGGTGATTGTCTTGTCCAACCACCTATTTTTTTAAAATATATTTTTATTGATTTCAAAGATGAAGGGAGAGAGAGAAAGAGAAAGAGACAGAGAGGAACATAAATGATGAAAAAGAATAATTGAATCATTGATTAGCTGCCTGCTACACACCCAACACTGGGGATGGAGCCCGCAACCCAGGCATGTGCCCTGACTGGGAATTGAACCATTACCTCCTATTTCACAGGTTGATGCTCAACCACTGAGCTACATCAGCCAGGCCACCTATTTTTACAAATGGACAAACTACAGCCCACAGAAGTGGAGGTATTTTTCTCAGATTAGTATTACAAAGAGTAATGGTAGGAACTGTAAGTAATAAAACTCAGTTTTTTATTGACTTAATGAAATCAAGTTTCTTTTTAGCCATGGAACAGAATAAGACTTAGTGGCCAATGGGGATTCTTCTCTAGGCTTCTTTCATCTGATGGCTCTCCCATTCCCTAAGTCCTCAGCATCTGCATCCAGCTGCCAGAAGGAAACAGAGAGGATGAATAAAGCACCCCTGCTCTTAAATGCCTTGGATCAGAAGTGTCACACAATGCATTTCTACTCATATGCCATCGACCCATTAGTTTTATATGTTCACATCTGATTCAAGAAGAAAGGATTCAAGCAAGGTAGTTGTGGGCTGAACAGCCTTCTCTGTGCCATGAAACAAGAGGCACACATTTCAATGAGCAGTTAGTTGTGTCTTCATAGTTAAACCCTCTGACCTCCAGAACACCCATCTTTCAAAGGGAGACAACCAAGAGTCCCATATAGCACTGTCTTTAACCCAAAGTTCAGGATCTATGGGTGATGCACGTCTCAACACTTAATGCACAATGGGGTTGGGACTAAGAAAATCAGAGTACAAACTCTCATCAGAAAGGAAGGAATGATAAATACACTGGTGCATGGCAGTTGGGAAGAGCCCTTTATTCGATGTGAATTGTGTTCTTTGAGAGAAGCTCCCTAATCCACTGCATCCAATTATCCCTCGCTGGACCACCTGGAAGGTTATTTCCTGTCCATTAGCCTCCAGGCCACACCATTGCCCAGCACTGGAAATATGCTCTCTTGAGGATCATATAGCTTTAAAGCTCTCTTCCTATTGTGCAAGTTTTAGTACCTCAAACATTATTTTAACAGTCAAAGGCCTTTTTAGGTTGGCTTGTGAATTCGTTGGCAGTACAACTGCCTCAAGAACTTAGTAGCTACTGATTTCCGTCTTTTTGGCTCCATGTGCCAGTAAACCACACCCAGAGAGAGATCTTTCCTAGAATCTGTTTGTTGATTTGCTTTCTTTCTTTCTTCCTCATCTCTGTCAAAGACTTTTGATATCTTATTTCCTGCTGAAACTGAAACCAACTTGGTATATTGGCATCTTAGTTCTGTGACCACCTCTGCCACAGACCTTGTTTTGCATTAGAGCCACCCACTACCAAGGTCAAATCCTTGATCTTGTCAGTACCGATAATTACCACCCTTTGTCATAACTACTTCAAACATCCCACAGCCTGATCATGTCAGTCTCTCTAACATTTTAATGATTCTTCTACCTCACCAGGACCTACTAACCACTGATCCTGACCCCTCCAAAGTGTCCTTCAGTTCCCTCATGCTTTCATCTCCCTCTTTACTTGATTACATTCCATGGTCCCTCTTTAAAATAACTCCTTATGGAAACCCTCAATTTCTTTGTCCCCCTCACCTCATTGTACTTCCCTGACAAAACCTCATCCCAGTCTAAATGCAGCTCACACACAAAAGTCCTTTAAATTCAGGATGACTAACCTCAAGTGGGCTCTCATTGCTGTGCCACAACCGCACTATAGACCCCTGTCCATTTGCTAGCCTACTGTGGTAGAAACACTTTCACACCTTTTCCTCTCACCTCCAAGATCTCCTTCCCAATATCCATGGCAGCCTCTGACTTTGCCTCCTATTTAATTGAGAAAGTATAAACATTCAGAAGACAACTTTAAAAAAAATGTATTTTATTGATTTTTTACAGAGAGGAAGGGAGAGGGATAGAGAGTTAGAAACATCGATGAGAGAGAAACATTGATCAGCTGCCTCCTGCACACTTCCCACTGGGTATGTGCCGGCAACCAAGGTACATGCCCTTGACCGGAATCGAACCTGGGACCCTTGAGTCCACAGGCTGACACTGTATCCACTGAGCCAAACTGATTAGGGCCAGAAGACAACTTTTAAAAGCTCCCACACTGACATCCACTTGTGCCTTCAATCTTGTCTCACATACTCAAACACACCACTCTAGAAATTTCCTATTTTTTTCTTTTTATTACCATTTTCCTTCTCTACTAAATCATGCCGATCCTTCTCCAGCAACTTCTCTGTATCTTTGTGCCCCTCCCCCATTTTTTTGGTAAAACTCTTCAAAAGTATATGCCTAAATCCTTCTCATTCTCATTCAGGCTTTTACTGCTACTCCAATCTCCTCCAATTGATACCATTTACTTCTATATTATTAAACCAGTGGTCTATTCTCAATCCACACTTACTTAATCTAACAGCATTGTTTAATCAATCCCTCTTTCTTAAAATGCTTGCTTACTTCATTTGGCTTCCAGTGTACAACATTTTCTAATATTTCCTCCCAACTCTCTGGTTACTCCCTATCAGTCTCCTTTGCTGGTTTCTGTTCATCTTTCCAATATCTTCTAAGCATTGGAGTTCCCTCCTCCACCAAACTCATTCTTCTGTGAAATCTACATTTACTCCTCTGGTGGTCTCATCTAGTCTTGTGTTTTCACACCCTCTATATGCTGCCTTCCCTAATTTATATCTCCAAATAAGTCTGCTGCCTTAACTCTAGATCTTTATATCCAGCCACTAAAGCAATGTCTCTACATGGATATTTAGTTGGCATGTCAAATTAACATGTGCAAAACTCATTTCCTATTTTTTTCATCCCTACAATTGTTTCTCAACACCAATAATTTTTCCTATTTCAAGTAGGGACATCTCTGAATACCATGAAATGGAATACCTTTTTATTCCTCTTCCTCTCACCCTCATGTTTGAGCTGCCAGCTAATTCCTCTGGTCTCCATTGAAAATATACCCTGGACCACACTACTTTTCACCACCTCTTCTTTTTTTTCAAGGGTTTCATAATTTTTTTATGGTTCTAGATAAGTTCAGTGACCTCCTGACTGGTCTCTCTGCCTCTATCCTTGCCCCCAAAACCCCAACCCCTTACAGTATTTTTTCCACCCAGCAGCCAGTGTGATCCTGTTATAAATATAAATCACATGTCTCTCCTTTGTTCACCCCCAGCCCCACAGCTTCCCAAGTTACTCAGATTAAAAGCCAAAATTCTAACAATGGCCTACAAGACCCTTTACTGGCTGCCTGGCTCTCCGACTGCACAGGCTGTACTCTCCCTCTGATCCCTGCTCTGGGATCATACCGGCCATCTGTTGTCTTCAAAGGGTCCAGGAAAACGCCTGCCTCAGAGCCTTGGATTTTGCTGCTCTCCCTGCCTACAGTGCTCTGTCTTCAGGTGCCTACGGCTTGACTACTAGTTTTTCTTCAAGTCTTTCTTCAAATGTTACTTTTTTAGTGAGGCCTTCTTTGACTACCTATTTAAAATGGGAATCCCACCCAGCAAACTTTCACCTTCCAGCCTCCTTTCTAGTTTTATTTTTTTTCATAGCGTTTATTACTGTCTTTTAACAAACAGTTTTACTTATTTGTTGTTATCTGTCTCCCCCTACTAAAAGGTAAACTGCTTGGGGGCAATAATTTTTATCTGTTTTGTTCATTATTATATCCCCAGTGCCTAGAACAGGCTCAGAATAGGTGATCAGTAAATCTTTGTTGAATGAATGAATGAATGAGGGAATTAATATCTTCCTACTCCCTGTCTAGGCATTTTTCTGTTATAATATACAAATCTATCATTCCAATGATGAAACAAAAATAAATCCTTGTACATTATGCTTGTTTATAGTTCCATAAATTATTTACTAGATTATTATTGCTTCATAGCTAATGTAGTGGTTTAACCTTCAACGTAACCCTCTCTTTCACTCACCAAATTATAATTTGTATTATAATGCTAAAACCTAAATGAATTGAAGATGTAGTAAGTTACTGATGAAGAACTACTACATTCACAGTGCCCCTTTGTGGTTACTCAAAGAATCAGAACTGAGTCAGAATATAATTTAACTGCCAATAATTCAGACTTACTTTTAGTCTGCCAGGCAGTAGTTTATCTATTGATCCAAGCCATATTTTTATGTATTTTGTTGTTTGTTAACTGTCAGCATGGTCCAGACATGTTTCAAAAGCATTTGAAGGACAGAGTGTGATCAATTATGATGCTCAGCCTCAATGTGACCTTCATTTTTGGCTAATTACATGTTGATTGCTACAGTACCCTCTTTAAAGTGAACGAATTGGTCTGATAGAAATAGAGAGTTAAAGAGCAGTTGCTATATTGTTTTTTAACAGCTCATTTTGTGTCTGGGATGAAATTTGATGTGCTTCTCTTTAACAAACCACCTTTTTACCATTTAATTACTCTCTTTTATGTGTTGCATACACAGGACTTTTATCTATGTAAAAGTATACATCGTATGTGTATCTGTTTATAAATATACAAATCATCATGGTCCCAATTCAGTAATTCTTACCATCATTTAAAGCCTGAGAAAGCATTAGTACTTTCAGTATTCACTTTTATAAATCCATTTAAATATATCCACTAGGGAACTAGTTTAGTATTCTTTCAAAGTCATTTAGTAAATTATCAAAGTAATAATTTCTGTTAGGTGGCTCCTAATATGTTAATAATTTATTCAGTTTAGCTGTAATCAGAGTGAGCTTTTGACATTTGCATTAATATAAACCTTGCTTTCTTCCAAGAAAAAAAGTGAGCATATTAGATGTTGTGAATGTTCCTAAATGGTTCTTCAACTTTTGTAAAGATACTTGTGAAACTTCTGATAATCCCTCTAGAGGTATATGAGTTTGTGTATGTGATTGTATGTGTGTGTACACATGTGTGTATGAGAGACTGAGAAAGAGAAAATACATATAGAGATGTGAATATGGAGATGGGTTGTTAAAACTTCTAGAATGAATTAGACTGCTGCTACTACAAAACAATATCAACTATGAGATTTTAGGTGTTCATTTAGTTATCCACCTACTACCTTATCTTTGGGGCCAACACCACATGGCCTGGGTACAGCAGAAACATGGCCCAAAGCTGAGAAGATGTGAGCTCAGCAGCAGTGTTTCTACCTAACTGCCATTAGAAGATGAACTAGCATCTGCCAGAAAGAATAGTTAGCAAAGTGTACAGTCCAGAGATGGAGCAAGTCACAAGGAGGAACTGAAGGTGAAGGAGAGAATGTGCAAGAATTGGCTTCAACTCTCATGACTTAATATGATTTCTTTCTTTCTTTCTTTCTTTCTTTCTTTCTTTCTTTCTTTCTTTCTTTCTTTCTTTCTTTCTTTCTTTTCTTTTCTTTCTTTCTTTCTTTTCTTTTCTTTCTTTCTTTCTTTCTTTCTTTCTTTCTTTCTTTCTTTCTTTCTTTCTTTCTTTCTTTCTTTCTTTCTTTCTTTCTTTCTTTCTTTCTTTCTTTCTTCCTTCCTTCCTTCCTTCCTTCCTTCCTTCCTTCCTTCCTTCCTTCCTTCCTCCCTCCCTCCCTCCCTCCCTCCCTCCCTCCCTCCCTCCCTCCCTCCCTCCTTTCTTTCTTTCTCTTTCTTTCTTTCTTTCTTTCTTTCTTTCTTTCTTTCTTTCTTTCTTTCTTTCTTTCTTTCCTTCCTCCCTCCCTCCCTCCCTCCCTCCCTCCCTCCCTCCCTCCCTCCCTCCCTTCTTTCTTTCTTTCTTCCTTTCTTTCTTTCTTTCTTTCTTTCTTTCTTTCTTCTTCCTTCCTTCCTTCCTTCCTTCCTTCCGGCCTTCCTTCCTTCCTTCCTTCCTTCCTTCCTTCCTTCCTTCCTTCCGTTCTTTTTTACAAAGAAAAACAAAACCAATAGAGTGCATCTTTTGTAATTCTAGTTTCTCTCTGTGGAGTTACTAATTGGATTTCAGTCACTCCACGGTGGCTCTGCAGACTAGCACAGGGATCTGGTTTGGCATTAATAGGTCTCCAAAGTTTATTAACATGAAATAATTGCATCGGTGACCTCTCTGCCCACATGTGACTAGTGTTGCTAAAAGACTATAATAACAATTGATTGCCATGAATAGCCCTTATTTTGTTAGTTTCTAATAGTAACAAAACCTCAATTATGTTTTGAGAATTCAGTGGCACTGATAGTTATTAGTAGCATAAGTTATCAATTTTTGGAGCACTTTTAATCATCATCTTATTCAAATATAGGAAAGGTAGCAAGTTTCTAACCCTAAAAATGTATACATTACACAGGAAAAATTACCAAAATCTGAATAAGTTTAATGGATTGTTACAATCAATTTCCTGGTGGTGATATTCTACTATAGTTATGCAAATTATTACCATTGGGCAAAACTGGGTGAAAAGTATGTGGACTCTATTGTTTCTCAGGGCCGCATGTAGATCTACAATTATCTGAAAATCAAAAGTTAAAAATAAGTCCATCATTGACAGCATCTTATTGTTTTAACAGAACATCAATGGGCAAGGAGTAGAGATTAACAATCAGTATATGAAATTTCATTTTTTACAATATGATTAGAAAGTTAATTTAGTTTCTTATATGGAAAATGGTGCTTGCTCTTAATCGTGGTGGGTACTTTAGAAGTCTAACCTTATAGATACATCCTTGGTTTGTTTAGCTTAATTCAGTGCCCACCATTGTGTTCCTTTTCTTCATAGATCTGTGTCTCCAAGTGCCCAGAAAAATTTTTAACCTATTTAGAAATGCAACTTCCATTCAAAAGAGACAAACACTCTTGGGAATATTATAGCCAGTTCTGCAAGTCCCCTATTTTTCATTCTGCAAAGGTATGTATGTTCAAGTTTATAAATTTAGAAAAGAATTTAACTTTTATTTCAATATCAAGTGTAGCATGAACATTTGTAACTGGATGAGCTCTCAAATCTAGGAAATGATTACTAAAGGTACCATTCCGTTAAAACAAGTGTACACATGTACGTATACATAGAAAAACACACATATCATTTATAGCATATTTTGTAGGCTTGGGGGGTTATGCAATATATAAGTCTGGAAAGTTAGCTTCAACTTTTCCCTGACACCAATAAATTCTCCCTTGGATGGAAGTTAATCTGTCAAGAGCTAAGAGTTAATGTCATTGGCAGTTAACATTTTATCAATGCGTTGATGAAACCCCATGGTTAATTAATAACATGTAGAATTTTACTTCCAACTCCAGTTTCATAATTATTCATTTTTTAAAAATCCCCAAACCCTACCTAGGTTTATGATTTATAAGGGAATTTGAAAGCTTATTTAGTATTAATGGCTTCCAAATTAGAGAAGATATTGTTTTTCCAGAAGAAAATTTAAGGATTAGAGGCTCAGTATGTGACTCATACATACTTTCTTTTTTTAAAAAAAATATTTTTATTGATTTCAGAGAGGAAAGGAGAGGGAGAGAGATATGGAAACATCAATAATGAGAAAGAGAATCATTGATCGCGGGCCTGCCTCCTGCACATCCCCTACTGAGGATCAAGCCCACAACCCAGGCATGTGCCCTGACCAGGAATTGCACCTTGACTTTCTGGTTCATAGGTCAGCGCTCAACCACTGAGCAACACTGGCTGGGCTCTTTTTAATTTTTTTTAAAGAGTTACATACTTTCAAAGTTGTGCCTTGCTTTCAGAGGGTCTGGTTCTATTATTGTTGATTCAATTGAATTTCAGTTAGGGCATTTAAGAGCATTTCTCAACCAAGTATATGAGTGTGATAATCTCACTATTACTTTTATTAGGGGAGTAATTTGGAATAATGAGATTATTATGCAACTGAACTTTTAATGGACAAGAGTTCTATATTGAGAGTAAAAGTTGTCATCACATCGCCTTTGAAATGTTAACATACTCTTCTTCCTTCCATTTTAGTCTCTCTCAGAAATAGTAATGGATGATGAATGTCCAGCAGCGATTTTCCCAAGCAAACCTTGTAAGTGGTTATTATTTTACCATAGAAATACAGAATCTATGAAGAAGTTACTTAATATAACTCCCTCATTTCACAATGGGAGAAAATGAGGTCAGTAATATTACTAAGACTGGCTCAAGACCCCAGAGTTAATTAGGAAGGAAGCTAAAGGTAACGCTCATTCTCCTGACACTAGCCAGGGCTATTTCCACTGGAGTTGTGTGAGTTTGGGGGTTTTGCTGCATAAACATCCACATATAAAAAAGATTAAAATTGATTTTTGAAAGCCCAATCATATTGATTACCTGGTACTCTCTGAACACACATAAGCACATACAAAAACAGACACTTACTGAATACTGACCCCTGAATTCAGCCAAAATGTTTGTTCAGAAATTGCTTTGGGAGTGATGCACAGACATATACTTTTCTTTATAATTTGAAATTTTAAATATTTATATGTCTCCTGATTAAATCAACATTTCATATCTTTAAAATTTATAAACTTTATTTAACTCTGTTTAGAAGAAGATGAAATAATCACTCATTTTCCTTTCTTACGGATATAATTCTAATTATAGAGAAAAATCATTACATAAAGGTGTTCATCACAATGTTATCCAAAAGGACCCCCTCAAAAAAAAAAGAAAGAAAAAGGAAATATTCTAATGCCCAAGAGTAAGAGAATGCTCAAATAATTGATGAAATGTTTATTAAATGAAATATTTTAGAATTATTAAATATAAGTATTATGTAAAATTAAAATGTTAAATGAAATACAAAATTCTATATGCATTAGAATGAACAACATGTATAAATTAAAATAAAGAAAAAATTATTCAAAGCAAAAGATTGGAAAGGAATATGCCAACATATTAAGTGGTTGTTTTGGAGGTGGCAAAACACTGAGCATTTTCTGTTTTCTTTTTCTCCATTTTTTTACAATGAGTATATGTTTTTTTTAATATGAAAGAAAGTCAATTCATCAGGGTTGAGTAGAAAGTCAGGTAAAAATTGAAGTAGCTACCACGAAACACAATGTCTCATAGGCTCCCATCACTCTTTGCTTGGTCATTAATGACTCAAGCAAAGATATAAATTTCCCAAGCAGCTGCATTTTACCAGGAAGCAAGTGCACATTTTCCCAAACAATTTTATTTTACCTAGGCAGCAAGTGTCTGTAGCAAAGAATAGTACAAATTTTTATGCAAAAAGGTAAAAATGAGTCATTAGTCACTGAAGATATAATAGGTATAAAAGTATAAGACATAGTCCCTGCCCTTACAGGTGCAATTTGGTTAAATCTCACAATATAAAATGTACAACGGTGATACATAAATGAATAAGACATAGTCCCTGCCAGTCTAGTGAAGGGGACATTAAGGTAAATATTGCAATCAATGTGTATTCCCCCTAGTATGGGATTAAGTATAGTTACTTAGTAGAATAGTATACAGCTAATAAAATCCATTCATTAAAGAGTTTATAAAAGGAAATGAGTAACATGAAAAGAAAAAACACACATAATGTATAATTATAACAACAACAAAAAAGCCCACAGTCTTGTAAGAGAAAGACTGAAAGGAAAGTTACCGAAAGATATAATTCACTGTGGGTGAATTAATAAACTATGTATAGTTTGGTATCTTCCTTCATATTTTCTCTATTTTCCAAATATGCACTGAGCATATTTAGAATCGAAACTAACAGATTAAATGAGTAGTTGCCTAGAAATAACATTTAGAACAAACCTGGGGGATTCTGTAGGTAGACACAGTTATATTTAAAGAGTGGAAAGGGAAAGAGTGCACAGAAAGAGTGCAGGAGAGAATCCGGACATGTAAGGCAAAGAAGTGACTTTGGAAAGGCAGGGGTGGCTACCATGTCAAAGACTCAGGAAAGCTAACTCATTCAACAGTAAATATTTACTGAGTTACACCATGCACCAAGCGCTGTGCTAGGTAATGGGTTCAAGTAGGATGAAGACTAAAAAATATTTGGAGGTTTTGGGAATTAGGAAGTCTTTGGGATCACTGGGAAGACAATTTCCATGGAGTTGTGGGCACAAGCGTGATTGGGTTAAGAGGAAATAGAAGCAGCTGGTAGACTACTATGTCAGCTATGCCAGAGAGTGGGAAGGGGAAAGACAGGGAGGCTAATGAGAATTCAGTGGCACTTGAAGGAATCACCCATATAATATTCTAAGTGCTTCAGAAGGTGGAGGAGGGTAGACAAGAGATTACTTCAGCCAGGAAAGTCAGGAAAGGCTTTATAAGGACATATTTCTTCCTTTTCTGTATCAACTGCTTCGATATGTTCAAGTCTAAACTCTATATGAACCCATGCAAATCTGTGATGCTTTGTTGAGGAGCTTCCCAGGTGAAATCTGAAACCAGCTCCCATGCACAGATGGTAGAGAGAGACTGAAGAAAAGTCAGGTTTAATAAGCAAGGGATCTGTGGGGATGAAGGCATGAGAAGAGATAAACCAAAGAACTTATATACTTACATACATAGCCCATGGGCACGGGCAATAGGGTAGTGAAGTCCTGGGTGGGGGTGTGTGGGTAGGGCCTGGGAAGAGGAGGGTAAAAGTGAGGGAAATGGGAGATATCTGTAATACTATCAACAATAATATATATATATATATATATATATATATATATATATATATATATATATGATCTTACTTAGTAGACTTGTCTTGGGAGACCTCCAGACGAGTAATTTTCTGTACCCACCTGCCAAATATTAGAAGTTTATATAGAGGCCGTAAGGGGGGGTCAGTCACATACCCAATCCAGATACTCTTATCACCATATTCTATTTCTTTTTCTTTTTCTTTCTTTCTTTCTTTCTTTTTTTTTTTTAGCATATTACCCTTTTATTATTATAGATGTTCTGATGAAATGCTACATGTGTGTCCTTGGGAAGCTTCTAGCTTGGAAAAGGTAAACAGAGAGCACATCCCAAGCACAGGGGAGGAAGTGGAAGCCTCCAGTTGCCCAGGTCCAGCTAATGGTCAAACTGGAGATCACATCTTTTTTATGACCTTCCCTCGTGACCGTGACCATGACCAGCTCTTACAGTCACATGGTCTCTCCCTTTGCAGTGTGCCCTGAGGAGTCAACAGGGGGGTTCACTAGCATGGAGGTGGTTCATTTGGTGGCTATCTGGCTGCATTGGAGGCAGACACCACAGCAACAACATAGGCACATGCAAGGTGAAAACAAGGATATCCAAAATCAGTGACAAATTTATTTATTTATTTATTTGTTTATTTATTTATTTATTTTTATCCAAGAGGATCATGATCTGAACAATGGATTTACTAAATCCCCTAGGCTGGGGGTCAGATTACTCAGGACATTTACTTGTGTCCTCATGTGATTTAATAAAGATGGTATTTTAACACACTTAGCAGGTATGGACATGCAACATATAAAATACTAGAGGCCCGGTGCACGAAATTTGTGCATGGGGGTGGGCGCCCCTAAGCTCGGCCTGCACTCTCTCCAGTCAGGGATCCCTCTTGAAGTCCGGAACCACTGGCTCCTAACCGCCTCTGCCTGCCTGCCTGATGCCCCTAACTGCTCCCCTGCTGGCCTGACTGTCCCTAACTGCTCCCCTGCCAGCCTGATCACCCATAACTGCTCTCCCCTGCCAGTCCAATCTCCCTAACTGCCTAACTGCTCTCCCCTGCCAGCCTGATTCCCCTAAGTGCTCTCCACTGGCAGCCTAAACCCCCTAACTGCCTAACCGCTCTCCCTTGCCAGCCTGATCTCCCTAACTGCTCCCCCCTGCTGGCCTGATCCCCCTAACTGCCTAACTGCTCTCCCCTGCCAGCCTGATCCCTCTAACTGCCTAACTGCTCTCCCCTACCGGCCTGATCCCCCTAACTGCTCTCCCCTCCAGCCTGATTCTCCTAACTGCTCTCCACTGGCGGCCTAATCCCCCTAACTGCCTAACTGCTTTCCCCTGCTGGCCTGATCTCCCTAACTGCTCTCCCCTGCCAGCCTGATCCCCCTAACTGCCTAACTGCTCTCCCCTCCTGGCCTGATCCCACTAACTGCCTAATTGCCACCTTCTCCCATCTGCCTTCTCGCACGGCTCCGGACTTCTCTCTTCTCCCTTCTCACATGGCACTGGTCTTCTCCCTTCTCCCTTTACCCACGGCACTGCCTTCTCCCTTCTGCCTTCTTCTGCGGCGCCTTCTCCTGTGGCCTCTGCAAAAGGGACCGTGGCACTGGACTGGCCCTCACAGCCACTGCGGCTGCTGGCCCTCAGCTCTTGCAGCCACTGTGGCTTTGTTTGGAAGGATGTCTGGAAGAACGTCAGAAGACGTCCGGTCTAATTAGCATATTAATCTTTATATATTTATATCTACACTAATAAAAGGGTAATATGCTAATTAGACTAGGAGACCTGGGAGACCGGACAGGGAGGGCAGTTGGGGTTCATGAGGCTGGCAGGGGAGGGCAGTTGGGGGCGAGAAGGCCATCAGGCAGAGTGGTTAGGGGCAATTAGGTAGGCAGGCAGGTGAGCGGTTAGGAGCCAGTGGTCCCGGATTGCGAGTGGGATATCCCACTGCCGGTTTAGGCCCGATCCCATAGTCAGACATCCCCTGAGGGGTCCTGGATTTCAAGATGGTAAAGGCCAGGCTGAGCCCCCCCCCCCCCTGCCATGCACAAATTTCATGCACTGGGCCTCTAGTATGTTATATTTTTTATATATTTGGCAGGTGAGTACAAAAATCTACTCTCCTTGCAGCTGCCCAAAACAAGCCTCGTGACTCCCCTTGCCAACTAAACCTGCCACCTACAGTCTGGAGTCTTCTGACTTTTCTTCATTGTCTCCTTGCCCTCCTCATCTGGGGGCTCCTTTTGGATTTACACCCGGGAAGCCCCCAGCCAGGCTTATGAGCCAACATAAGTATCCATTTTTAAATTTCTTTTCCCACTTCATTTAAAATTGGGATTTAAACATATTTTTAGCAATAAAGATTTGTAAAAGGGCAAGGATTCTATTTAATCAAAATAATCATATAGGAGGTTGAACAATGAGTTAATAACTCTTCCCAGAAACTGTGCTAATAATGGTCAAACCAGAGGTCACTTTTGTAGTGAGTCATTTTTGTTAGCTTCAGTGTTTCCATTTCCAGCCCCTCAAGAAAAACCATGTAAATGAGAAAGGGAGAAAATTATTGAAGCTTTACAAATTAAAATATAGTTGTCTTAGGAATACTGAAAGTTTGAGCTGGTTTTTATTTTCCAAGAAATTATTCACTAATCTCTAATTTTCAAGGTTTCACTCAAGGAGTGTCTAAGTTGGTGATTTTTGTTTTTTTAAATAACAAAACTAAACTCATTGAGTCATAGAAGTAAATATAGCCTTTTAAAAACTGTTTACATGAGAGCTACAGTATCAGAGTTTCTCTTTTAAAACCTGTGCTATGTATCTTACTTGATGAATGAACCATGTATAAAATAATCAAGTTTAGAATGTAGCTTCAGATTGTCATCATATTTGCTTTCCATGTGTCTTATAACAATCAGACAATTTTCTGATCATAAAATAATGGGAAATTATAATTGCTCAGTAGCAATTATACATTGTCTAGCAAGAACTTGGTTATAAATAACAGAAAACTTAACAAAGGGAGGACATCATGTAGGAGGTAGAAAAGTGATTACCATAATTTTCATTTATTTTTACAGTTCTCCGGAGGTGTTTCCCTGACTTCTCTACTAAAAATGGCACGTTAACAGTAGGAAATAAGACCACATTCGAAGATGGGAAAGGGCAGATAAGAAATGCTGTAGAACTCAGGGCAGCTGCAAAGTATGCTTGTTTCTATTCCCATTTTCATTTTTGATGCTTCCCATTTTTGTACCCAAAACTAAAGCTTCCATTAGGTTAACAGTCTAATACAGGAAGAATTATGTATTATGAAATATACATGTCACTGTGGATTGGAGAGCTTGGTCTATGTTCATTAAGAAAAGCATCTAAAGGAGAAACCAGAAGAATTAGAAAGAACAATCATGATTTTCAAAATGGGTAAATCTTTCATTACCAACAGGTATAGAAAGGAGACATCAGAAAATGTACCAAAAGATCATCATATAACTTGCTTTTTAAGTGAACATAATTTTAGAAAATCCATGCTTTTAAAAGCATCATTTAAAGAAATATGATTGAAATAATAAAGCTACCAAATGTTTTTAAGGGATGGGGTCTTAAGAAAGGTGAGACAGCCTGACAATGCTGTTTCAGTACTGTCTCAAATGTCTGCATACTAACTACAATGAACTGAATTTACTGTTTCCATTGGCTGCACACATCACAGTACTCCACATTGGAAAATATAATTCCCAGGGTGCACACACACATGTGTTCACAAATGTACACACACAGAGTATCATTGCATTGCTCAGTTGTTGAATGAAAAATAAAGGTATTCTAAAGTTTAATTTCTTTCTTAAAGGACTTTTAGCATTCCTAATAGAATAGTACAGTATCTGCATGTTGAGAATATAATAGCAACATGGACAAATTTCGCAAATAGAAAGGTTTGTGGAATAATACAATTCCATTAATAAAAGAAAATTCAAAAACAAGTACCAGTAAATTAAATTACCCTGTGATGCATATATAAGCGGTAAAATTAAAAAGAAAACTAGGAAATTATTATCACAAAAATCAGGATTGTGGTTATTTTAGGCAGGGAGGGGAACCTTTTTGCTGCCAAGGGCCATTTGGATTTTTATAACATCATTCGAGGGCCATACAAAATTATCAACTTAAAACTTAGCCTGCTATATTTGGTCAAACATTTAATTAACTCGCCCCTAATGCGCAGGGCCAGATCAAATGATTTTCGGGACTTACATGGAATGATTTGCGGGACTTACATGGACCATGGGCCCAACGTTCCCCACCCCTGCTTTAGGGAAAGGGGAAAGGTATTGTAATTGGGGTACAATGGAAAAGGGATGATATCATTCATCAAACTGGACACTAATGTATGGCGGGGTCTCTCTTTTCCGCGTCCAGCGCGGAAAGAGAGTGGTCTGGTTATTTGAGTAGAGATGGCTGAGGATTTGAGAAATATGAAAGAAAGAGACAAGACAGAAAGATGGAAGAAAAAGCTGGGACTGGGTGGGACCGCTGTCCTCTTCTGACAGAGAGACAGAGACAGGGACAGGGACCCAACACCAGAACCGCGTGTTTATTTTATACCGCAATACCAGGAAGCAACGTCAGTTCTGGGCGAGTCCTACTCATTCCTGGTGCTTGGCTGGATTTACATAATAAAACCCACTCCCCAACACCTGGGCAAAGATGAAAGTCAAGCTGAGAACTCTTCTGCCTTTTTGGTAATATGTGTATCCAGGGCATGGCTCTGCCTGTTGCCCTGAATTCAGCTGACAATTATTAGAGAAAATGCCCATGTGCCTTCCCAGGGGCCCTCTACACTAATGATTTGTGCACTTTTCTGTATGTGCCGATTGTTACGGAGCTCTCGGAGTTTTAGGTGAGTTAAAGATGATGGTTATTATTGACTATGGATCTTGTAAGTTAAAAGCTGATCTTTACATTTAAATTTATTTCACATAGTGAGGCTTCTGCAATATTAGGCATGTCACATATGTTAAAAGGATCTGTTCACCATATTTGAAAGCCATGACTCTCTGTGTATAGATACAGCCGCCTTTGTAGGTTTACCAAAGAGACATCTCATGAACTGTTGTGTCTAGGAGTCACTACTGATAAATGGTTTCTAAAAATATGCTCTGAACAGAGCTTGCAAAATTCCTTTTATCATAATAAGAATATTGATTTTTTTCCCTTCTTTGAATTCAGAAATATCAATAAAGTCCTCGATGCAAAGGCATTTGGAGTGAAAGTGTTTGAAGACTATGCAACAAGTTGGTATTGGATTCTCATGTAAGTAAAAACATAGATGTTTTTTCCCCAGCCCGATTCTGATTTTATCTTGGTAAAACTCTTTTTTCAAATTCCCAATATATTCGTGAATTCAAGGTTGACTCAGACCTCAGTTCCTGCCATTTTGTTCTTTCCTATAGAATAAAATTAGGACAAAGATATTTGGAAATATGCCCAGTGTTAAGAAGAAATTATAAGGGTATAAAGTTTAATTATATTCATTAAGATACATATACTTTAAGTTACATGGGGGCAGCATCTGATACTTTGGCTTCTCATCACATGTTACGGTGGATGCAGTGTTATTTCTCTGGCCTACTTTGTCACTTGTCCTTTCTTGACTTCCAAGGGATCATTCTTATTTTTTAACACATCCCTTCCACATAATGTTTGTTATCATCATCCACAAAGGTCACTGTACTTATGAGGAGCTGAAAAAAATATGAAGAGATGAAGAAATTCAAAATTTTCAGGCATAAGATTTGCAGTCCTGAAAATGCAGTCCCACTATTGGAGTGGTACATGTATTTGATATAGCTAAGGACATTGTGTCACCTTCTAGCTGTTTTGTCACCTTCTTGTGTCTTAAAAGCATCTATGGTTGCCTACTGATCAAAGAATATAGTGGAAACTTCTTTAGTACTTACAAGGCCATTTGCAAGTCCAACTTAATTTTCCAGGTTCATCTCCACCCAGACTTTTCGATTAACCCTATAGTCTAAACACATTAAATAGCATTCCTAGACTGCCAAACTCCCATGTTTTTGCACATTCTGTTCTCTTTCCTAGCATTATCTTTCTTGATGCCCTAGCCCATGGTCGGCAAACTGCAACTCGCAAGCCACATGCAGCTCTCTGGCCCCTTGTGTGTGGCTCTTCCACAAAATACCACGTGCGGGCGCTAGCACAGTGCGATTGAAACTTCGTGGCCCATGTGCAGAAGTCGGTTTCCGGTCTGGGCAAGTCTATTTTGAAGAAGTACTGTTGATATTTGGCTCTGTTGACTAATGAGTTTGCCGACCACTGCCTAGGCAACTTTATCTCATTATTTTAAATCAGCTTTTATGTCACTTACGAAGTCTTACTTGACTTCTGCCGATATATTTACTTCACTTTCTGTGTTCTTTATAACCATTGTGTGTGTGTGTGTGTGTGTGTCTACATACCTAAATACACATACACATGCATACCTATCTTATATATAGTACCTACCATTTTGTGTTTTATTTACTTGGCTCTTTCCCTCTAATAAACTGTGAACTGTTTACCATGGTAATTATGTCTAACTCATCTTTGTTTTCCTAACTCCTATTATGGTTCTTGGAACATAGAAGGTGCATTGAAAATGTCAGTTCAAGCAACATTTATAAAAATGCTAAGGGAACAACATAGATATATTTAACTATAATGTGCTTACTAAAGTCAAATTTTATTGTGTATAAAATACTAATAATTTTAGATCTGTAAAACTAATTTTCTGAGATTTTACTCATTTCAATGCTTTGCATTAAACAATTGCAGTAATTACTGTCAGAGCGTATTATGATTTCAGGATATATCTCCATAGCAGAGATTATAGTCTATACTTGATAGTAGTTAAACTGCTTCACCTGTGGTCAGGCCCAAATATCACTAGATGATGTCCATGTTTCTTTTTTCACTCTTATCTGGAAGGTATACATTCCGATAGACTCTCTTGCCCACCTCACTCCCGGCACACACACTGGAACCCTCTTCACTACCCTGGCCCCACTCATACCAGTAGAGAGTAAACACCTCCCTTTAGTTTCAGCTCTTCTGCTCTCATCTGTTTAATGACTATCAAGCCAACAAGTGATACACTGTGACTTAATTTATTCACTTAGAATTTTTATACAGGAATTTAAAATACACAGAATAAACATCTGTGTTTCTTTCCCCTCTCCTCCCAGCCTTTTTGAATATTCCTCTTGGACTATGCCACAGAATAATTTTTCAGTTGAATAGAAGCATTAAAGTATCTGTAATTTTTAAAAGGAAATGACTTCAGAAGTTAAAAGCATAGGGAATGTTCTGCAAGTCTAGGAGCTGGGAAGCTACTCTGAGACCATGCTGTTGTCTGTGCAGTAACGTAATTATTATTAAGATTTTGTTTGTGAAGATAACACTTGTAGGTAATAAAGTCAATCAATGCACCAGGCTCTGCCTGTTGCTATGTTTGGAAACTTGCTGATAGCACCAGAAATATCAGTTCTTAATAGAAGCATCAGCCAAATTTCTAATCTTAATGAGTTACCTTTTATGAAATTAACCTGGGTATATTGAGGGCCAAGAAGTATCTCTACTAGCTCACTCAAACTCCAGGGAGAAATTAAAACAGAAGGAAACTAGTCATGCCACTGGTTGCTTGATACCATCACATGGCCTAGGTGACCTACAAGCCTGTAGATGGCTCCCACTAGTGGCCTCCAGATCACTGGGGACCTGAACTAGATGTCTGTGATGTCAGATATTACATACTCTTAGACATAATAGACCATAGTGAAAATGACTACAAAATTATGAGTTCAGGATCTGTGCAGGGAAGTTAGTTTTACTGTCTTTCTGTTCTAAGACTCTTTCCTGACTACTAGACAGTTATATTGCATAAGGTTTCCATAAGGTATCCAGGTAGATAGAACAGCACAGTGGGTAGGTGTAAAGAAAAAAAAATAGAACATGGCAACTGTGGCAGATAGGCCAAATTGTAGGTTGGAGGAATTGTGTTTTTCCATCAACAATGATTGATACAAAGCTTGAGTTTACCTAGGCACAGGAAGATGAGTCATGTATAAATTCCTGATGGTCCCACTCTTTCATACAAAGTCTTACCAGAAACCATTGTGCTTTTAAACGTTACAAATGTTTCTATAGCTAGGTAAAATAAAATGATCTGAGAATTATTTTGAATAGAATAAAAGTGTTTTCTTGTTATTTTCATTATGTCATGGTTAGCACACTTGACTCTGTGATTGTGTTGCGTTTTTTCCGCTAGTGGCCTGACGATCGCCATGCTCCTCAGTTGGCTGTTTCTACTACTCCTGAGGTTCATAGCTGGATTCCTCTTCTGGATCTTCGTATTGGGTGTGCTTGGAATTATAGGCTATGGTAGGTATCACCCCTCATAAGGTCACCAAATATCAAAATTACCTTTTTCTTTCCAGTTGCCATTATCAATTGCCAAAAAGTATTTTCTTGCAGTGAATTTTTTTTATCCTTTGCTTCCCTCAAAAGTGTTAAATTGAGAAATATTACTTAAGTTTGCATATATTTCCTATAACTTTTTTCTTCTTTATTTTTTAAAATTCTTTATTGTTTAAAGTATACATATAGTATTACACATGTCTCCTTTTTCCCCCATTGACCTCTCCTCGGCCACCTGCACCCCCTAGCACATGCCCTCACCCCGCTAGTGTCTGTGTCCATTGGTTATGCTTATATGCATGCATACAAGTCCTTTGGTTGATCTTCTTACGTTCCCCCCTCCCCCTTCCCCGCCTTCCCTCTGAAGTTTAAGGTCTGTTTAATGCTTCTCTGTCTCTGGATCTATTTTGTTAATCAGTTTATGTTGTTCATTATATTCCACAAATGTGAGTGAGATCATGTGATATTTTCTTTCTCCAACTGCCTTATTTCACTTAGCAAAACGCTTTCCATGTCCATCCATTATGTTGTGAATGATAAGAGTTCCTTCTTTTTTACCGCAGCATAGTATTCCATTGTGTAGATGTACCACAGTTTTCTAATCCACTCATCTGCTGATGAGCACTTAGGCTATTTCCAAATCTTAGTTATGGTAAATTGTGCTGCTATGAACATAGGGGTGCATATGTCCTTTCTGATTTCTTGGGATATAGTGGGATTACTGGGTCAAATGGGAGTTCCATTTATAATTTTTTGAGGAAACTCCATACTGTTTTCCATAGTGGCTGCACCAGTCTGCATTCCCACCAGCAGTGCACGAGGATTCCTTTTTCTTCACATCTTTGCCAGCATTCTTCTTTATCTTGAAAAAAAAAGTGTTTTTAACATGTTCTACTCTTTATTACTAGCAGCCTTTGGTGTCATGTCTCATGGGTATTAAGAAGGAAATAAAAAGATTCCTCTTAGGTTAATGAAAAACATTTCAGACAACTTATTTTATTCCTTTAATTTTTCTATTTGATCAAAGGGCACATCTGCATAGTTACAGAAGTGTGATCTAGTTTTCCCTTTTAATTTAGTACCTTTAATCCAGGCACTGTCACACATTTTAATAATTGGCCAGCACACCATCATGAGGCATCACTCCCTAGAGCAGTGGTTCTCAACCTTCTGGCCTTTTAAATACAGTTCCTCATGTTGTGACCCAACCATAAAATTATTTCCGTTGCTACTTCATAACTGTAATGTTGCTACTATTATGAATCGTAATGTAAATATCTGATATACAGGATGGTCTTAGGCGACCCTCTGTGAAAGGGTCATTCGACCACCAAAGGGGTCGCGACCCACAGGTTGAGAACAACTGCTCTAGAGGCAGGTATTCTGAATTAAACTTATTAGATAGAGAGTTAACTTTATTTCAAGGTTGAAATCTAACCACTGACTAAACCCCTCCAAAAGCAGTACAATGTGACATTAAAAAATAAGTGTCAAAGTCTCTCCCAAGGAATAGTATGACACTCATGACAGCTTCCTTTCAGTCCTCTAATAAAGCATGGGCCAATATATGAATGCTTGGGAGGTTTCTATTCAAAAGAAAAATTTCTCCTACAACACCATTTGGATTGAAAAGCAGTTTATGGTAGCAGACACCAAAATAACAATTTCCTGTTTCTGTCACTCAAAGAAGAGTTTTACACATATCAGTATGAGGAAGCAGTTGAACCTTAGGACCCAGCAATTCCACTTCTGGATATTTATCTGAAGAAATCCAAAACACTAATTTGAAAAGATATATGCATCCCTATGTTCATTAAAGCATTATTTACAATGATATGGAAGCAACCTAAATGGCTATTAATAGATGATTGGATAAATAAGATGTGATACATGTATACAACGGGATATTACTTGGCCATAAAAAAGAATTAAATTTTACTATTTGTGACAACATGGATGGACATAGAGGGTATTACACTAGGTGAAATAAATCAGACAGAGAAAGACAAATGCCATATAATTTCACTTATATGTGGAATCTAAAGAACAAAATAAGCAAACAAACAAAACAGAAACAGACTCATAGTTATGGAAAACCAATGGTTGAGGTGGGAGGTTGGGGAGCTTTGTGAAGAAGGTGAAGAGTTAAGATATACAAATTGGTAGTTTCAGAACAGTCATGGGGATATAAAGTACAACACAGGGAATATAGTAAATAATATTATAATAACTATGTATGGTACCAAGTGGGTACTATACTTATCAGGGGGATCACTTCGTAAATTTTATAAATATCTTAACCACTATGCTGTAGACTGGAAACTACTCCTAATATATAAAGAGCCAGGGTCTGTAACGTTCAAAATGACCTAACAGACAACTGAACGCCAGGCTGCACACGCAGCAGGCTCAGGTGGGTGGGGACTGGCAAGCGGGCTGAACTGCTGACCTCTTGGTCCCTCCTGGGTTGCGGGTGCTGCGGTGACCCAGCACTGACTGCTGCTGCCAAGGCGGGTGCGATGTGATTGGTTGGGGGACCCCCACCATCGCCTCACGATCGCCCTGCAGAGGGAGGCCCAGGCTACCCTGCTGGCGGCGGTGGGCGGGGCCTCCCTCTGTGAGGCAATCAATCACGGGGCTCCTGGACTGCAAGAGGGCGCAGGCCAGGCTGAAGGACCCCCCTCCCCCGAGTGCATGAATTTTGTGCACCGGGCCTCTAGTATAAAATCATATTGAATGTTAACTGTAATTGAAAAAGAAGAATGCTGTAGAATCCCCAGGTCCAGTAGGTAGCCTGAGTTCTAATCCCAGATCCATATGTGTAACTGGGGAACTCTGGAAAAGTTTCTTAATGATTATAAGACCCAGTTTCCTTATCCATACCATCGTTGCAATGATATCTCCATTTCACAAGATTGTGAGGACTAAATGAGACAATGAGTATAAAGCTCTCAGAACAGTGCCTGGCACACAGTAAGCACTCTACTGCTACTATCCTCCTCTTTATCCTCAGGGAGGTTCTAATCATTTGAGTCTCTGAGCGTTCCCTATCTGCTCCTGCTGTGCAGATGCCCATGAACAGGTGGGTCAATTTGATGGAAGACCTGCTGTCCCTTCATCAGAAACTCCCCAGAAAGCCTTTTGTTTAAAAGCCCTTTTTGTGTTTCTGCTTGGAGCTCAAAGTAACCTCTGCTCTTTGCCAACATAGAGTCTGAGCATGTGATTCAATCACCCTTTTATTATCATCAGGAAGTGAAGGCCAGTAAAGTTTGCTATTGATTTCACTGACTTGTCTTAACAAGCAAGAAAAATCTGAAATTGGCTAGAGTCCAAGTTTGGCAATGACAAAAGGGAGAAAGATGGTCAATATATAAAAAGTGCAGGTAAAACAACCAATTTTAGCTCTCTATCGACTCCCTAGGTAGTGCTAACCCAGCAATTAATGGTGTTGCAAGTAAGCTTGAAGCTATTCATTGGGTGGAGAAACGTCCAACTAGATTGGGAAGTGTAAGTAAGACAGTATGTAACTGACATCTGTTACTATCTCGGTAAATCAACTGTCAATATATCATGGGAAACCAACCATTTCCTACTGACAGCAGCTTATTTTGCTGGGATGGAGAACAATGTGGATGTGTCATACTGACCAGAGAAAAAGCCAGGTTATTTCTGGGCAAGTGCCCATGAATAGCAGAGGAACAATTCTCATTAGCCAGAACAAATTAAGAATTACACAGGAGAGGCCATATAACAACATTATTATAAGCACTGATTTGGAGATTGAAAAAGGCACAATTCCAGATTCATTACGTGTTAACTATGTGACCTCTGCAAGTACATAGTCTCTCTAATTTTTAGTTTTTGCATCTATATAATAGGAATCTGTATTAAATAAAATAGTGTACATAAAGTACTTAGAAAACTTCCTAGCACATAGCAATTATTCAATAAATAATATTGGTTGTTGTTACTGTGCATGAATATTATTGAGGAAGGAGGATTAAAGCCCAGGGGGTCATACCTTGAGAGAGAGAGAGAGAGAGAGAGAGAGAGAGAGAGAGAGAGAAATAGCAAGAGAGAGAGAGAGAGAGAGAGAGAGAGAGAAATAGCAAGAGAGAGAGAGAGAGAAAATAGCGAGAGAGAGAGAGAGAGAAAATAGCGAGAGAGAGAGAGAGAGAGAGAGAGAGAGAGAGAGAGAAAGTAAAGCAATAAAGCTATAGAAAAAGAAATAGGAAAACACTGCCGAGACTCACATCCACCATTATGAAGGAACTAAATAGTTTAAAGGTCTCTCTTGCTATGAAATAATGGCATAAAAATCATATTATACTAGAGGCCCAATGCACAAAATTTGTGCATGGGGGGAGGGGTACCCTCAGACCAGCCTGCACCCTCTCCAATCTGGGACCCCTTGGGGAATGTCCGACTGCTGGTGTAGGCTTGATTCCCGGTATAGAGCCTAAACCAGCAGTCAGACATCCCTCTCACAATCCAGGACTGCTGACTCCTAACTGCTCACCTGCCTGCCTGCCAGATCACCACTAACTTCCCCCCTCTGCCAGCCTGACCACCCCTAACCGCCTCTGTCTGCTGGCCTGATCTCCTGTAACTGCCCCCCCTGCTGGCCTGGTTGCCCCCAACTGCCCCCCTCACCAGCCTGGTCACCCCTAACTGCCCACCTCGCTGGCCTGGTTGCCCCCAAATGCCCCCTGCCAGCCTGGTTGCCCCCAACTTGCCCCCCCCCCCGCTGGCCTGGATGCCCCATGCAGCCTGCTTTTCTGTCATTTGGGCATCCCTCACTAAACCCCAGCCGGCTTGGTCCCCCTACGCAACCTTCGGTTCAGGTGTTTGGCCTCCCTGACCAAAGCCCCTGCCGGCCTTGTGGCCCTACACAGCCTGATGTTCAATCATTAATGTTACAGTGAAGGATTCCCGGAACATTTGCATAATCCTTTATTAACGTA